ATGTATTTAGTTTTTTTGTCTGGCTCTATTTCATTATCAACCAATTTGAAACTTTATTACAAATTGGTCTCAAAAAAATTTCTTCAAATTTATACTCTAATGAAATATATTCTTAATGGAATGTATAGTAATTATAAATATTCTTGTCCAACATGCAAAGATTAAATTCTGAAAAAATTGGAACAGCAAATAGTCTGTATTTAAAGCTGATATTAATTTATAGTTTTTGTTAAAGATACATCTAAATATGTTGCACTCCTAGACAGAGAAGATGGATTCATGGCAGATAGGAAGAGTCAACATGTAAGTATTTGGTCATTACAATTGTACTTAAAACTATGTTAATATTTGGAAGTCAATAAAAATCTGTTTTCACTGAAACAATAGCTTAAAATTTTATTACAGATTGGTCTAAAATATCTTTTATTCGAATTTCAAATGTGGTATATTTTAATAAGAATGAAAGAGTAATTGTAAATTAATTGTCCGCAATTTAAGATTTGACATAAAACATGAATCACATTAATTTTTTAATTTTTTTAACAGCCATTAAATATTCTCTAAAGCTGATGCTAATTTAAATTTTTTCTTTTGTAACAGATACAGCCCAGATATGTTCCACTCCTACCCAATGAATATGGTTTCATGGTAGATGCACATTAGGATGTTTAACATGTAGGTAGTCATTACATTTGTACTTTAGACTATGTTTATATGTGTTGGGTAATAAATATCAGTTTTCTCTGGAACAAAAGCTTAAATAAAATATTATTTGAAATTAGTGTACATATTTCTTTTGTTCAAATTTATAATCTAGTGAAGTAAATTTTAACATGAATGCGTAGTAATTTTAAATATTCTTGTGTCCAATTTAGGATTTGACATAAAATATGAGTGACATTTATTTTATAATTGTTGCAACAGCCAATAGTCTCTATTTGAAGCTGATACTAATTGATGATTTGGTTTTGTTATAGATACAGCCTAAATATGTTACACTCCTAGACAATGAAGATGGTTTCATGGTAGATTGATCACACATCTGGATACGTAGCATGTAGGTATTTGGTATTTTTAATTGTACTTTAAACTATGTTTATATGGTTTGCAGGTAACAAAAATAAGTTTTCCCTGGAAGCTTAAATTAGATTTGATTACAAATTGATTTAAAATTTCTTCAATTAAAATGTATACTCTTATGAAGATTATTTTAATGATAATGTATAGAAATTGTTTATATACTTGTCTTCAAATTAGGATTTTTCATCAAAAATGCATCATATTAATTTTGAATTAATTGCAACAACCAATATTCTCTATTTAAAGCTGATACTGATTTAGAGTTTTTGTTACAGATACAGACTAGATATGTTACCCTCCTAGACAATGAAGATGCTTTCATGGTATACAGCACACGAAGATTTGTATCATGTAGGTATTTGGTCATTATAATTGTACTTTTAACTCTTTTTATATGTGTTGGGTAACAAAAATCAGTTTTCCCGTTGAACAACAGTTTAAAATTTTATTACAAATTTGTCGAACATTTCTTTTATTCAAATATTTACTGTAATAAGTTAAGTAATTGTAAATATTCTAGTCTCCAATTTAGGATTTGACATAAAACATGCATCACATTAATTTCTGAATTGATTGCAACATCAAATATTCCCTATTTAAAGCTGATACTAATTTACAACTTTTGTTTTTGTTACAGATAACGCCTAAATATGTTACACTCTTCGACAATGAAAATGGTTTCATTGTAGATAGCACATTAGGATTAGTCACATATAGGTATTTATTCATTACAATTTTTTTATTTAAACTAGGTTTATTAGCTCACCTGGCCCACAGGGCCAAGTGAGCTTTTCTCATCACTTGGCGTCCGTCGTCGTCCGTTAACTTTTACCAAAATCTCCTCTGAAACTACTGGGCCAAATTTAACCAAACTTGGCCACAATCATCACTAGGGTATCTCGTTTTAAAATGTGTCCGATGACCCCGCCTGCCAACCAAGATGGCCGACATGGCGAAAAATAGAACATAGGGGTAAAATGCAGTTTTTGGCTTATATCTCTGAAACTAAAGCATTTAGAGCAAATCTGACCATAGGTAAAAATGTTCATCAGGTTAAGATCTATCTGCCCTGAAATTTTCAGATGAATCAGACAACCCTTTGTTGGGTTGCTGCCCCTGAATTAGTAATTTTAAGGAAATTTTGCAGTTTTTTGTTATCTTGAATATTATTATAGATGGAGATAAACTGTAAACAGCCATTATGTTCAGCAAAGTCAGATCTACAAAGAAGTCAACATGACCAATATGGTCAATTGACCCCATAAGGAGTTATTGCCCTTTAAAGTCAAATTTAACAATTATTCGTAAATTTTTGTAATCTTTTACAAAAATCTTCTCTCCTGAAACAACTGAGACAAATTTAACCAAACTTGGCCACAATCATCACTAGGGTATCTAGTTTAATAAATGTGTCCGATGACCCTACCTGCCAACCAACATGTCAGACATGGCTAAAAATAGAACTTTGGGGGAAATGCAGTTTTTGACTTGTATCTCTGAAACTAAAGCAAATGTATAACGGTTGCATTATTTCATGCATCAATTGTAAATAAAAATATCAGGTGAGCGACACAGGCTCCTTAGAGCCTCTAGTATTTGTTAGGCATTAAAATCAGTTTTCACTGAAACAACAGATTGAAGCTTTATAACAAATTGGTCTAAAATTTCTTTTATTCCTATGTATATCCTAATGAAGTATATTTTAATAAGAATGTATAGTTATTGTAAATATACGTCTCCAATTTAGGATTTGACATAAAACATGCATCACATTAATTTCTGAATTGATTGCAACAGCAAATAGCTTTGAATTTGAAGCTGAAACTAATTTAAAATATTTGTTTTTGTTACAGATTCTGCCTAAATATGTAAGACTCCTATACCATGAAAGATGCTTCCATTGCAGATAGCACATTAGGATTAGTCACATGTAGGTTTTTATTCATAACAATTGTTCTTAAAACTATGTTTATATTTGTTAGGTAATAAAAATCAGTTTTTCCTGGAACAACAGCTTGAAATTTTATTACAAATTGGTCCTACATTACATTTATTGAAATATTCACTGTAATGAGATATATTTTAATAAGAATGTATAGTGATTGTAAAAATTCTTGTCTCCAATTAAGGATTTGACATTACAACATGCATCACATTAATTTCTGAATTGATTGCAACAGCAAATAGTCTGGATTAAAAGCTGAAATTAATGTTTATTTTTTTTGTTTTCATTACAGATACAGCCTAAATATGTAGACTCCTATACCATGAAAGATGCTTCCATTGCAGATGCACATTAGGATAAGTCACATGTACGTATTTGGTCATTACAATTTTCCTTCAAACTATATTTATATTTGTTAGGTAATAAAAATCTCTTTTTTCCTGAAACAACAGATTGAAGCTTTATAACAAATTGGTCTAAAATTTCTTTCATTCAAATTTATACTCTAAATGCTGAATATTTTAATAAGAACGTATAGTAATTGTAATTATATACTTTTCTCTATTTTGGGATTTAACATAAAACATGCATCACATTATTTTCTGAATTGATTGCAACAGCAAAGAGTCTGGATTTAAAGCGTAAACTAATTAATAATTTTTGTTTTTGTTACAGATTATACAGCCTTAATATGTAACACTCCTATACCATGAAAGATGCTTTCACACATTAGGATGTTGCACATGTAGGTATTTGGTCATTACAATTGTTCTTAAAACTATGTTTATGTTTGTTAGGTAATAAAAATCCGTTTTTTCCTGAACAGTTTGACAAAAAGATGCTTTATGTTAAAATGGGTCTCGTAAAAGCAGACCTCTGCAGAGAGCAAACTTTAGATTTTGATATAACATTGATGAATTTAATGGGCGCTAATCTCGTAAAAGCAGATCCCCCAGCAGAGCTGATTACATAGTATGATAACTTGTGTTTATGGTAAAATGTATTTAGTTTTTTTGTCTGGCTCTATTTCATTATCAACCAATTTGAAACTTTATTACAAATTGGTCTCAAAAAAATTTCTTCAAATTTATACTCTAATGAAATATATTCTTAATGGAATGTATAGTAATTATAAATATTCTTGTCCAACATGCAAAGATTAAATTCTGAAAAAATTGGAACAGCAAATAGTCTGTATTTAAAGCTGATATTAATTTATAGTTTTTGTTAAAGATACATCTAAATATGTTGCACTCCTAGACAGAGAAGATGGATTCATGGCAGATAGGAAGAGTCAACATGTAAGTATTTGGTCATTACAATTGTACTTAAAACTATGTTAATATTTGGAAGTCAATAAAAATCTGTTTTCACTGAAACAATAGCTTAAAATTTTATTACAGATTGGTCTAAAATATCTTTTATTCGAATTTCAAATGTGGTATATTTTAATAAGAATGAAAGAGTAATTGTAAATTAATTGTCCGTAATTTAAGATTTGACATAAAACATGAATCACATTAATTTTTTAATTTTTTTAACAGCCATTAAATATTCTCTAAAGCTGATGCTAATTTAAATTTTTTCTTTTGTAACAGATACAGCCCAGATATGTTCCACTCCTACCCAATGAATATGGTTTCATGGGAGATGCACATTAGGATGTTTAACATGTAGGTAGTCATTACAATTGTACTTTAGACTATGTTTATATGTGTTGGGTAATAAATGTCAGTTTTCTCTGGAACAAAAGCTTAAATAAAATATTATTTGAAATTAGTGTACATATTTCTTTTGTTCAAATTTATAATCTAGTGAAGTAAATTTTAACATGAATGCGTAGTAATTTTAAATATTCTTGTGTCCAATTTAGGATTTGACATAAAATATGAGTGACATTTATTTTATAATTGTTGCAACAGCCAATAGTCTCTATTTGAAGCTGATACTAATTGATGATTTGGTTTTGTTATAGATACAGCCTAAATATGTTACACTCCTAGACAATGAAGATGGTTTCATGGTAGATTGATCACACATCTGGATACGTAGCATGTAGGTATTTGGTATTTTTAATTGTACTTTAAACTATGTTTATATGGTTTGCAGGTAACAAAAATAAGTTTTCCCTGGAAGCTTAAATTAGATTTGATTACAAATTGATTTAAAATTTCTTCAATTAAAATGTATACTCTTATGAAGATTATTTTAATGATAATGTATAGAAATTGTTTATATACTTGTCTTCAAATTAGGATTTTTCATCAAAAATGCATCATATTAATTTTGAATTAATTGCAACAACCAATATTCTCTATTTAAAGCTGATACTGATTTAGAGTTTTTGTTTTTGTTACAGATACAGACTAGATATGTTACCCTCCTAGACAATGAAGATGCTTTCATGGTATACAGCACACGAAGATTTGTATCATGTAGGTATTTGGTCATTATAATTGTACTTTTAACTCTTTTTATATGTGTTGGGTAACAAAAATCAGTTTTCCCGTTGAACAACAGTTTAAAATTTTATTACAAATTTGTCGAACATTTCTTTTATTCAAATATTTACTGTAATAAGTTAAGTAATTGTAAATATTCTAGTCTCCAATTTAGGATTTGACATAAAACATGCATCACATTAATTTCTGAATTGATTGCAACATCAAATATTCCCTATTTAAAGCTGATACTAATTTACAACTTTTGTTTTTGTTACAGATAACGCCTAAATATGTTACACTCTTCGACAATGAAAATGGTTTCATTGTAGATAGCACATTAGGATTAGTCACATGTAGGTATTTATTCATTACAATTTTTTTATTTAAACTAGGTTTATTAGCTCACCTGGCCCACAGGGCCAAGTGAGCTTTTCTCATCACTTGGCATCCGTCGTCGTCCGTTAACTTTTACCAAAATCTCCTCTGAAACTACTGGGCCAAATTTAACCAAACTTGGCCACAATCATCACTAGGGTATCTCGTTTTAAAATGTGTCCGATGACCCCGCCTGCCAACCAAGATGGCCGACATGGCTAAAAATAGAACATAGGGGTAAAATGCAGTTTTTGGCTTATATCTCTGAAACTAAAGCATTTAGAGCAAATCTGACCATGGGTAAAAATGTTCATCAGGTGAAGATCTATCTGCCCTGAAATTTTCAGATGAATCAGACAACCCTTTGTTGGGTTGCTGCCCCTGAATTAGTAATTTTAAGGAAATTTTGCAGTTTTTTGTTATCTTGAATATTATTATAGATGGAGATAAACTGTAAACAGCCATTATGTTCAGCAAAGTCAGATCTACAAAGAAGTCAACATGACCAATATGGTCAATTGACCCCATAAGGAGTTATTGCCCTTTAAAGTAAAATTTAACAATTATTCGTAAATTTTTGTAATCTTTTACAAAAATCTTCTCTCCTGAAACAACTGAGACAAATTTAACCAAACTTGGCCACATTCATCACTAGGGTATCTAGTTTAATAAATGTGTCCGATGACCCTGCCTGCCAACCAACATGTCAGACATGGCTAAAAATAGAACTTTGGGGGAAATGCAGTATTTGACTTGTATCTCTGAAACTAAAGCAAATGTATAACGGTTGCATTATTTCATGCATCAATTGTAAATAAAAATATCAGGTGAGCGACACAGGCTCCTTAGAGCCTCTAGTATTTGTTAGGCATTAAAATCAGTTTTCACTGAAACAACAGATTGAAGCTTTATAACAAATTGGTCTAAAATTTCTTTTATTCCTATTTATATCCTAATGAAGTATATTTTAATAAGAATGTATAGTTATTGTAAATATACGTCTCCAATTTAGGATTTGACATAAAACATGCATCACATTAATTTCTGAATTGATTGCAACAGCAAATAGCTTTGAATTTAAAGCTGAAACTAATTTAAAATATTTGTTTTTGTTACAGATTCTGCCTAAATATGTAAGACTCCTATACCATGAAAGATGCTTCCATTGCAGATAGCACATTAGGATTAGTCACATGTAGGTTTTTATTCATAACAATTGTTCTTAAAACTATGTTTATATTTGTTAGGTAATAAAAATCAGTTTTTCCTGGAACAACAGCTTGAAATTTTATTACAAATTGGTCCTACATTACATTTATTGAAATATTCACTGTAATGAGATATATTTTAATAAGAATGTATAGTGATTGTAAAAATTCTTGTCTCCAATTAAGGATTTGACATTACAACATGCATCACATTAATTTCTGAATTGATTGCAACAGCAAATAGTCTGGATTAAAAGCTGAAATTAATGTTTATTTTTTTTGTTTTCATTACAGATACAGCCTGAATATGTAAGACTCCTATACCATGAAAGATGCTTCCATTGCAGATGCACATTAGGATAAGTCACATGTACGTATTTGGTCATTACAATTTTCCTTCAAACTATATTTATATTTGTTAGGTAATAAAAATCTGTTTTTTCCTGAAACAACAGATTGAAGCTTTATAACAAATTGGTCTAAAATTTCTTTCATTCAAATTTATACTCTTAATGCTGAATATTTTAATAAGAACGTATAGTAATTGTAATTATATACTTTTCTCTATTTTGGGATTTAACATAAAACATGCATCACATTATTTTCTGAATTGATTGCAACAGCAAAGAGTCTGGATTTAAAGCGTAAACTATTAATAATTTTTGTTTTTGTTACATATTACAGCCTTAATATGTAACACTCCTATACCATGAAAGATGCTTTCACACATTAGGATGTTGCACATGTAGGTATTTGGTCATTACAATTGTTCTTAAAACTATGTTTATGTTTGTTAGGTAATAAAAATCCGTTTTTTCCTGAACAGTTTGACAAAAAGATGCTTTATGTTAAAATGGGTCTCGTAAAAGCAGACCTCTGCAGAGAGCAAACTTTAGATTTTGATATAACATTGATGAATTTAATGGGCGCAAATCTCGTAAAAGCAGATCCCCCAGCAGAGCTGATTACATAGTATGATAACTTGTGTTTATGGTAAAATATATTTAGTTTTTTTGTCTGGCTCGATTTCATTATCAACCAATTTGAAACTTTATTACAAATTGGTCTCAAAAAAAATTCTTCAAATTTATACTCTAATGAAATATATTCTTAATGGAATGTATAGTAATTATAAATATTCTTGTCCAACATGCAAAGATTAAATTCTGAAAAAATTGGAACAGCAAATAGTCTGTATTTAAAGCTGATATTAATTTATAGTTTTTGTTAAAGATACATCTAAATATGTTGCACTCCTAGACAGAGAAGATGGATTCATGGCAGATAGGAAGAGTCAACATGTAAGTATTTGGTCATTACAATTGTACTTAAAACTATGTTAATATTTGGAAGTCAATAAAAATCTGTTTTCACTGAAACAATAGCTTAAAATTTTATTACAGATTGGTCTAAAATATTTTTTATTCGAATTTCAAATGTGGTATATTTTAATAAGAATGAAAGAGTAATTGTAAATTAATTGTCCGTAATTTAAGATTTGACATAAAACATGAATCACATTAATTTTTTAATTTTTTTAACAGCCATTAAATATTCTCTAAAAGCTGATGCTAATTTAAATTTTTTCTTTTGTAACAGATACAGCCCAGATATGTTCCACTCCTACCCAATGAATATGGTTTCATGGTAGATGCACATTAGGATGTTTAACATGTAGGTAGTCATTACATTTGTACTTTAGACTATGTTTATATGTGTTGGGTAATAAATATCAGTTTTCTCTGGAACAAAAGCTTAAATAAAATATTATTTCAAATTAGTGTACATATTTCTTTTGTTCAAATTTATAATCTAGTGAAGTAAATTTTAACATGAATGCGTAGTAATTTTAAATATTCTTGTGTCCAATTTAGGATTTGACATAAAATATGAGTGACATTTATTTTATAATTGTTGCAACAGCCAATAGTCTCTATTTGAAGCTGATACTAATTGATGATTTGGTTTTGTTATAGATACAGCCTAAATATGTTACACTCCTAGACAATGAAGATGGTTTCATGGTAGATTGATCACACATCTGGATACGTAGCATGTAGGTATTTGGTATTTTTAATTGTACTTTAAACTATGTTTATATGGTTTGCAGGTAACAAAAATAAGTTTTCCCTGGAAGCTTAAATTAGATTTGATTACAAATTGATTTAAAATTTCTTCAATTAAAATGTATACTCTTATGAAGATTATTTTAATGATAATGTATAGAAATTGTTTATATACTTGTCTTCAAATTAGGATTTTTCATCAAAAATGCATCATATTAATTTTGAATTAATTGCAACAACCAATATTCTCTAAAGCTGATACTGATTTAGAGTTTTTGTTTTTGTTACAGATACAGACTAGATATGTTACCCTCCTAGACAATGAAGATGCTTTCATGGTATACAGCACACGAAGATTTGTATCATGTAGGTATTTGGTCATTATAATTGTACTTTTAACTCTTTTTATATGTGTTGGGTAACAAAAATCAGTTTTCCCGTTGAACAACAGTTTAAAATTTTATTACAAATTTGTCGAACATTTCTTTTATTCAAATATTTACTGTAATAAGTTAAGTAATTGTAAATATTCTAGTCTCCAATTTAGGATTTGACATAAAACATGCATCACATTAATTTCTGAATTGATTGCAACATCAAATATTCCCTATTTAAAGCTGATACTAATTTACAACTTTTGTTTTTGTTACAGATAACGCCTAAATATGTTACACTCTTCGACAATGAAAATGGTTTCATTGTAGATAGCACATTAGGATTAGTCACATGTAGGTATTTATTCATTACAATTTTTTTATTTAAACTAGGTTTATTAGCTCACCTGGGCCACAGGGCCAAGTGAGCTTTTCTCATCACTTGGCGTCCGTCGTCGTCCGTTAACTTTTTCCAAAATCTCCTCTGAAACTACTGGGCCAAATTTAACCAAACTTGGCCACAATCATCACTAGGGTATCTCGTTTTAAAATGTGTCCGATGACCCCGCCTGCCAACCAAGATGGCCGACATGGCTAAAAATAGAACATAGGGGTAAAATGCAGTTTTTGGCTTATATCTCTGAAACTAAAGCATTTAGAGCAAATCTGACTATGGGTAAAAATGTTCATCAGGTTAAGATCTATCTGCCCTGAAATTTTCAGATGAATCAGACAACCCTTTGTTGGGTTGCTGCCCCTGAATTAGTAATTTTAAGGAAATTTGGCAGTTTTTTGTTATCTTGAATATTATTATAGATGGAGATAAACTGTAAACAGCCATTATGTTCAGCAAAGTCAGATCTACAAAGAAGTCAACAAGACCAATATGGTCAATTGACCCCATAAGGAGTTATTGCCCTTTAAAGTCAAATTTAACAATTATTCGTAATTTTTTGTAATCTTTTACAAAAATCTTCTCTCCTGAAACAACTGAGACAAATTTAACCAAACTTGGCCACAATCATCACTAGGGTATCTAGTTTAATAAATGTGTCCGATGACCCTGCCTGCCAACCAACATGTCAGACATGGCTAAAAATAGAACTTTGGGGGAAATGCAGTTTTTGACTTGTATCTCTGAAACTAAAGCAAATGTATAACGGTTGCATTATTTCATGCATCAATTGTAAATAAAAATATCAGGTGAGCGACACAGGCTCCTTGGAGCCTCTAGTATTTGTTAGGCATTAAAATCAGTTTTCACTGAAACAACAGATTGAAGCTTTATAACAAATTGGTCTAAAATTTCTTTTATTCCTATTTATATCCT